CAGTGGATTGTTTTTTTAACCTACGGTATTTTGGAATAGCTCCTTCAATATACATCTGGTCAATTTGATGTTTTTGCCCAAGCTGCCGTCTGCACTGCTTACATCTGATCTCTGGGAGCGTTCATTGTTCCCTTTAATGTCTCGGCTGATTGACTTTGGACCGTAAAACTTTTTATTAAACTGCAAACTTTGTGAATGGTTTTCATCCACTTTCTACACTTGTGGGAAAAACCTCACAGGTGCTTTAAAACATGCATGTAAGTGGGGCCTGCTGTGGAAAACAGCTAAAATGTTCCCAAAACCTCAAAAACAGCTTTATAAGTGCTGGCCATTTACTCTGCCATCCATTACCGCAGCAGGGTAAACCAGCAAACAAATTTCAAGCTGCATTATTTAAGGTTTCTCCCACAAGCAGCAGCGGTGTAGCCTTCAGCTCCCCACTGCTAAGTGAAGCAAGACCACTCACTTTAACCATGGCAAAAGCTTCTCATTTTGATAAATCTAAGTTCTGCTTTAGCATGAGACGAACGTCAGATTGGATTAGATATTATCCCCATTATAAAGCAACTTTCTAAGACACTGATGTTCTAACACGTCGGTATAAAATGCTACCAAAACAGATTAAAATGATGTTGAACCAACTATTCAGACACCGGTAAGAAAATATAATTCTATAAATTCCATGTCTCCAATGTATCAGGACATAAAAACTTATCTGTACCAAATTTTCTACTGATGTTCAGTCTGTCTTTTGTCGTTGATATTATGGATGTTACAAAGACATTCCACTTTGAGCATCCCTGCTCTGCAAGCAGTGATGAAATCAAGTGCAAAAATTTAGCAAATCTCTTCCCTTAAACACCCTCTCTAAAATGTGCCATGAATAAGTAGGTGCATGCACAGATGCTTCACAGCAAAAAACCTTCTAGAAATAAATTTAATTTCTCTAATTAAGTGTATTTATCCTTAATTTGAGTAGGGAAATAAGCTGGTCTGCCCAATGGAATGAGATTATTTACTTTTAAAATAAGATAATTAGATAGTATGCACTTGAAATTCTTATTGTAAATGTAAATGTTCTTGTTCCATTGACAAAGTGTCTCACTTACCTCCTCAATTCAAGAACAAAAGCACAAATTTTAAGAAAAAAATTTCTTATTTAGATAACATCTTTTGCAGTGTTACAGTGATACGGCAGCAAATAAAGGACGTATTTAACACAGACAGAATTTCTATTGTTAAAACACTTTACAGTTCAGTATTTTATTGTTTATCTTTTAACTCT